GGCCCCCAGATTGTGGAACTCTCTCCCACAGATCTCAGGAGCCTGAGATCTGTGGACTCAGTGGTCGCTTTTAAAAAAAACAGCTAAAAACTCATCTTTTTAAACTTGCTTTTAGTTGATTTTTATTTTTAGGTTTTAGCTTCTGTGAAGCACTTTGTGATTTTTATCTTGAAAGGTGCTATATAAATAAAGTTTTACTTACTTTACTTACCTTATTGGTTTAACAGCATTTCAGTTATGTTTTTTTTTCTTTTTTTTTTTTTTTAAAGAAAAAGATGATGACTCTGTGTTTAAACCTCTATACACATGGACTAGACCTTACTTTGACCATTTAAACTTTTATCTAACTCCAGATTAAGTAGTTACTCATGAGGACATTTACACCACATCACAACATGGAGGGGGGGTGGAGGGGGGGACCTCCCTCGTCGCAGCCTTGAGGTCATTCTCCCGGGACTCTGGTGCTCTTCGAGACATTCTTCCATCTATGGACATATGAACACTGAATACTCTTAAACAAGAATGTGTGGAAAAATGATTAAACGCTACATTTGGTTCTGCTTCGTGCCTCACAACAATTAATCGTTATCAAATAAGAAGCTGTTTGTTTTTTGATTCTCTGATAAGGGCTGCAGGGTTGTAATAGTAGATTCAGATGCTTCCAGATGGTTCCACATATAAAGTATGTTGCAACCGACACAACTATGGTCTCCTATAAATAAAATCTATAAAAAAACAAACCCTAAATATCTGATTAAAAAAGTTCCCATCTTTAATGTATTACCAATCTCGCGTATCTAATCAGGGCTACAACTGGCAAAGGCATAACTGAGTTCCTGAAGAGGTTGCAGTTGTTACACAGTACATACGTGTAATTATATTGAGCTCATTGTAACTTCATTTTACTTTCTAGTTGTATTAAATTCTACTATTGTCCAGTGTTGCTTCAGTCAGTGAGCCATAAGGAGGTGCTATTACTGTCATCTTTTATTTTAAACAAAAAAAGACCAAAGTAAACTGCAGTAAGCCTGAGTGCTGTGGGTAGGATTAACCCCATTGTCAATCGATTTATGATTCAAATTCTATTTTTGTTTAGTTTTTTGTTTGTTTTGTGGGCAGAGTCATGGAATACTTTTTAAATACTATATCTTGTGTATTATAGACAGAAATGATTAGATTTAGGTTGTGCTGTTAAGTGTGAAAGATCTCTTAACGGACTGGGTTTCTGTTTCACCCTCAGACCTTCATCAAGGAGCTGGTGGTCAAGCTACAAGGAGTTCACAGGAAGGATGAGCTGCAGAGTGAAGGCATCGAGCATCCTGTCATCTGTCATGGCCACTATCGCCATGAGCCTTATCACTTCAACAACCCACAGCACCACCACCACTTTCACCACAACCAAGAGCAAAATCAGACCCTCTGATGGCCCAATAAACACACACACACACACACACACACACACACACACACACACACACACACACACACACACACACAC